ATTATATACTCCAGACCCATGTTCCAGAGATCCCTGCATTTCCCACTGCTGACCCCTGCACTATGTGTGTTATGATACTCCTGACCACTGCGTTCTGTGCGGTACACACTCTTGACCCCTGGACTATGTGTTACCTACTTGATGGACTTATGTCTTTATTCAACCTCAAATACTATGTAACTATGTACTCCTGACCACTTCGCTCTGTGTGGTACAAACTCCTCATCCGCGCACTATATATTCCTGATCTTTGCACTGTGCAATACATACTCCTGACCACTGTGTTCTGTAGATCCCTCGTCCTCACCACAAATCTTTGCACTTTCTGATTCAGACGGAAGCCAGATTTTAATTGATGGTATGAAATCCTTTGTTAGACTTACCGGTATTTCTGAGAATCTTCCAGGTTGGCAACCTGAGAGATGATTAACTCCTCCTTCTACAGGAAACACAATTGAACAAGAGTTTAAAAATCCCTCCCACCCCCTTGTCCCTCAGTTGAGATAAAAGTAGACTACCTCCGCCAGTGCACGAGGAAAATGAACCAACATTCAATGAAAACACCATCTGAAAAACCTGGTTACTTCTAAATATCTTAGGAGACACCTTCTAACATCCAATGTTTGGAACTCTTTTTCCCTGAGAGTTTGTGGGTTGTCACAAAAAGAGGGTACCATTTTCTCTTGAGACCTATGGAAAGAGGAAGATACCTTTGGCAAATACAAACGATGTGGTCTAAGTATCACTCTGTCCGGAAGCATAACCAAATAAGGATCCTTAATGGATAACGCCTGCAGATCCCCCTCTCTTCTAGTGGATGTAATAGCTAGTGAAAAAGACATTTTAAGCATCAACCATTTAACTGACACCTCAGTAATGAGTTCAAATGGAGATTTTGAAAATCCTTGCAACAACAGGGAAAGATCCCATGGATGGTTCACTCAGTAACTTCTTCTCTAGGAAAACAGAGAGAGCAGATCATTGTTCCTGTAAGGTGCTGAGGGCCAGATCTTTATCAAGACCCTCTTGTAGGAAATCCAAAATCACCGGAACCGAAGGAGAAACAAATGTTCCCACGTAAACACCAAGAAGAAAAAAAATCTTCCACACTTTACTATAGATCTTTCTGGTGGCCACCTTTCTACTGGAAAGGAGAGTGTCTACCACTCTGTCTGAAAAACCTTTCTTCTTTAAAAACCTCCTTTCAAGAAGCCGGCCCGTCAACTGAAAAAAACGTCTCTGAAGATCCAAGACCCAAACGTCCGTAATTACCCTGACTGGGTTGATCTGTTACCACATTCTGTCTCTTTGCGCCTTTCCAGCACTGTCCACAAATGAGAGAGCGGCAGACCTCTCCTTGGAAGCTGAACTCTGAAATCCATGGTCTCCATCCTCCTGTCCCACTGAGACAACAGGAAAATCTGCAACGGCCTTGCATGAAGTTAAGTCCAATCTAGAGCTGGAATAGCTGATGTCATTACCCCCAACAGTCTCATGATTTTCCAAATCAGCTATGTTGTCCTAGATTGTTCACTTCTCCTGCCTTCTCCAAGCTCTTCACCCTTTTGTGAGTAACCCTGTAAGTCTCTAATTGACTGATGAATAAGAAAAACTCCACCATGAGATTCCAACAAACCCCTATTTACGCTATCCTGAATGGAAACAGCTCGTGGAGCATCTGGAATATGGTTCAATGGTAAAAATTGCCTGTAACAAATAATCCATTTCCTCCAATGGGAATAGATATCTAGAGGGGCAAGATCCCATCTCTTCATCTATGGTTTCCCCCTCTTCCAGGAACTATACGACACAATCTTTGTCTGATACTGCCTTATTCAATACCTCAGTAATAGGCCTAACTTTAGACTGACCTCTTGGAACTGAACCTGAAGGTCCTGGCATTATTATACAGGATTTATATAGCGCCAACAGTTTGCGCAGCGCTTAATATCTGGTAGAGCAGAGGATGATGGTAACAATTCAGAAATGAGACTTAAAAAACTAAACCATAGCTACCATCTCAGTCTTCATACTTTTCTATATAAGATTAGAGGATTCACTAGAAATTAACTTGTTAAGGCACAGATCGCAAAGAGACTTTTGGTAACTGGAAGGCAGCTTGACATTACAGCTACCACAGCGCTTTTTATAGGATTTTATACTATGTGGCATCTACATTTTTTCCGTGGGGCACTGAATGAGTTATAAGGAGAAGTGTGCGGAGGAGATTAATAATCGCCATTTAGAAGGTGGATTGACAACTTGAACCGACCAACAGTTTCCAGAAAAACCCAGCGAACGAAAAGGAGATATTGGCTACAAAGGAGGTTGCCATCAGCTGTCTATGGAGAGGGGCTTACTAAGGATTGTAAAGTGAGTGCAGTTTGACCATTTAACAGTGGTGAAAAGAGTAGGTAATAAATTACTTGCCCCCAGGCTTCTGAGTGGGCGGGAAGCCGGCTCCATGCTCCCTCATTACTTGGTGACGAGGGAGCATGGAGGTGGCTTCCCGGCCAATCAGGAAGCCGGGCGCTTGCTCGCCGCCTGACTTCCTGATGGGTCAGAAGGCTGGCCAATCAGGAAGGAGGGCGGCAAGTCCTTACCCGCCCCCCTGGCTTGCCGATTGGCCAGAAAGCTGGCTACATGCTTCCTCGTCACCTGGTGATGAGGGAGCATGGAGCCGGCTTCACGGCTAATCAGGAAGCCAGGCAACGAGCCTTTACACGCCGCTCAGCTTCCCGGCTAATCAGGAAGCCGGGTGGCAAGTCATTACACACTGCCCGTCTTCCTTAATGGGACTTCCAGTATCGGTAAGTACCGAAAAAAATAAAATAATCTATACTCTTACTTGATACCAAAAAAACTGTATTGGTGCATCCCTATTTTTAGGTATACTGTGTGAATGGAAACACATAACCAGCATAAAGTGGGGTTTTCTGAAATGTGACTGCAAAAGGGAAAATACACAGCATGAAGCATCTTAGGAGATAAAATGCAGATCAGACGTGCTTCAAATGGATTTAACATGCAAGCTGAATACACCTGAAAGCATGCTGTATTTGCCCATCTACAAAAGACCTTACAGTTTTTCCCAAACGCTAGATCCCGCCAGTGAAACACATTCCACACATTGGGAGATAATCATCTTTCATATCTATAATAACCTGGATCAGAAAGAATTGTGGAAGCGAACTGATCAGTTTGAAAAAACTTTGTTGCAGTGCAGTGACCGCAATTAACTGATTCATTCACTAGTTTCTAGCTTGTGACAGAACATGAATGCAATAAGTCTCTTTGTCTTTTATAGTTTATAATTTAATCTATGTATTCAAAACTTAAACAAATTGAATCTGTCCATTATTTCTTTTTTGCTCAATGGTAAATCATGCCAAAACTGCCATGTCTGTTTCACCTTAAAGCAGAACACCAGGCAAACAGCTAAATACATGAATGGAATACATACTGTATATGTATATTGTTTCACCAGCCAAAGTACCTGTATTTTTGATCATCCGGTCCTGAGATTTACACAACTTGGCCAAACAGCAAAGCAATATCTAGCAGGGGAGCAGACCTGATCTTTCTCCTATGCAGTTTCAACTTAACTGACAGGTCTTCTTCCTACGCTCATCCTGTGATTGGGCAGTAAAAGGAGAAGCAGCACACTGATGAGATCATCTCTCTGTCACTCTGCTCTTTCTTCCTATCAGCATGCCCCGTGCAATGCAGCACACCAGATAGGCTTCTTGTGCAGCTTCTTGCTGAACAACAGACTGCAAAAGGCTGATACCAAGTCAAATTCAGGTACTTACAAATACACTCAGTAGCCGCTTTATTAGGTTCAACTCTTCAACTGCTTGTTAACACAATGATCTAATCAGCCAATCACATGGCAGTAACTCAATACATTTAGGCATGTAGACATGGTCAAGATGGTCTGCTGAAGTTCAAACCGAGCATCAGAATGGGGAAGAAAGGTGATTTAAGTGACTTTGAAGATGGGATAGTTGTTGGTGCCACACGGGCTGGTCTGAGTATTTCAGTAACTGCTGATATAGAGATTTTCATACACAACCATCTCTCGGGGTTACAGAGAATGGCCTTAGAAAGAGAAAATATCCAGTGAGCGTCATCTCTCTGGGCAAGAATACCTTGTTGATGCCAGAGGTCAGAGGAGAATGGCCAGGCTGGTTCAAGCGGATAGAAAGGCATCAGTAAATTAAATAACCACTCGTTACATCCGAGGTATGCAGAATACCATCTCTGAACCACAACACATTGAACCTTGAGGGGCTACAGCAGCAGAAGACCACACCGGGTGCCCCTTCTGTCAGCTAAGAACAGGAAACGGAGTGCTCACCAAAATTGGAAAATAGAAGATTGGAAAAATGTTGCCTGGTCTGATGAGTCTCAATTTTTCGATTGCAACATTCGGATGGTAGGGTCAGAATTTGATGTAAACAACACTAAAGCATGGATCCATCCTGACTTGTATCAACAGTTCAGGCTGGTGGAGCTTTGCATCATGGTTGTGCAGCCGACAAATCTGTAGCATTTGTGTGATGCTATCATGTCAGTATGGACCAAACACTCTAAGGAATGTTTCCATCACCTTGTTGAATCAATGCCATGAAGAATGAAAGCAGTTCTGAAGACAAAAGGGGTCCAACCCATTACAAGAAAGGTGTACCTCATAAAGTGGCCAGTGAGTGTATACACATGCTTATATTTAAAAAAAATAAAAAAAAATAAAAAAATGATGATGTATTTATGATTACAGCTCTGCATTAATGTGTGACTTTTATATCTGCCTGGAGCTCAGCTTTAAATCAGTTAAGGCATAATGAAACAGATATGACATACAGTTAAATATGGTATAAGAACCTCTTCTTTTCTAGCCATGAAACAATGCAGACTAAAATATAGAAGTAACAAGCTGAGGCTTACAACACATCCTTATCGCTTGAAGGGCTTATTTTTGGTGTGTATATATATATATACATGTAGTCCATTCTTTTTTTTATGGTGAACAGAAAGTACAATGGTAACGGTTATCGGAGGCGGGGAAAAATTCTGATGAAGAGGATCATGCTGATAAAAGTGAAGCAGACAAAGATTAACATGATCCATAGTATCCAGTTGACAGATTTCTTGGCGTGCTGCTCCAGGCGGTCTGATTCATCCTTTAGTTTTTCAAAGTTGTGGTCCGCTAACTTCAGAGACTGGGAGAGTGTCTGAAAGAGGTGAAGAACATAGTCACTAATTTCAGTCAGTTGCTTGGGGGAGAAAAGTGAAGCTTCAGAAAAGAAAAACCCCACAAAAGCTCCATGGCCTTAGAATTGTTCTACAATAATAAACCTATGTCTGAAGAGAATCGCCATCTCCTTTTAGCATACTTATTTTATTTTTATACTTGAAAGTGAACTAGAGCAAGAACACAGTACATGCAGAACACTATTAAACCACAGCAGTGTAAAACAAAAGATGCAGCAAACAATAGCTATGTGTCCACTGTACCTGGTTGTCCTGTTTTATGACATTCTGTGCTGCTAATGAGTTGCTTTTAAGATTCTGGGTCAGGCGCAGCATCTCCTCTGCTAATTTTTCTTGCATGTTGTGGTGATGCTGTAGGACTGCATCAAGCTCTGCTTCTGACTGCTTGTCATTGGTAATGGATCCCCTAAAAGGTAAAATGGTAATTGACTACAATGACATTTCAAATGTCTAGTGCATAATAGAAAAAGATAAAGTGACATTTACTAGATGCAGATTTTTAACGTGGAGTGGTGTTCTCCATAGCCTTTATCAATCTGTACTGCCCAACCACAGCTTGGTAATGCTATCTCCAACAATTAAACATTAGAAATTAGTATTATGATTGTTCAATGAATACTACCATGAAAGGCACTTGTCAGAATTAGAAAACCCAGATGAAGCCAGATTAAGGCCCCATTCACACGGGCGGTGTACGTTCTAATCAGCAGGGGATCCTCTGCGATGGGGGAAAAAACTGAGCTGTACAGACCCATGACTCTTCAAGCAGGTGGATGTAAGTGGACAATTGTCCGTTTACATCCAATTACCTCCAATCCGTCACGTTTAGGTCTGCAAAAACAGAACTCTTTTAATTTTCTTTTCGGACCTAAATGGGCGCAGAGGTAATCAGATGTAAACAGACATGCATTGTTTACATCTGCCAGCCCAAAGACTTAAGCTGCCCATACACCTTACAACCATCGCACGACTTCCGTCTTGCGATGGTTGTAAGGTGATTAAAATTTCGTACAATCTGCCCATCTTGGACAGGGAGATCGTACTTGCGATCATCGCAATGATGATTGCAGTGCTGAGCGGGCACTGTGCGCTTGCACACACCGGCCCGTGCGGCATTAGTCTTCTGAGCACACCACCAACCTGCCGAAAATCCTACGATTTTCAGCAGGTTTTCCAGCGTGCTCGGAAGACAAAACACGTATGACCTTACAGTAGAAGCGGTCGCACGCTGCCCATACACCTGCTGATTATCGTATGATCACGGGATAATCGGCAGGTGTATGGGCACCTTAATACTGCTCTTCCAATCAGATCTGTGTGAAAAACTGACAGGTGGATCTGATTGGAAAGGTCATGTGAAAGGAGTATAAAGGTGCCCATACACCTTACGATTATCGGACGAAAATTTTCGTCCAATGATCGAACTGTCGTACGATTTTCGTACGACGGCCCCACCTTCCCCCGATTATCGCAAGGTCCAATTAGCGGTAGTTAAAAAAAACACCTGGACGACTTGCGGTAATTGACCGCAATTGTTTTCGTTTGCACATGCGCAGTGTTAATCGTACGACTTTTGACGGACGGAAACGCCACCAACCATGCGAACATCGTACGATCTAGCAAAGTTTTCAAACATGCTTGACCGTCAAAAGTCGTACGATTGTACAGTACTATCGGTCGGGCACTCTATTCACACATTACGATTGTCGTACGAAAAGTCGATCGCATACGATTGTCGTACGATAATCGTAAGGTGTATGGGCACCTTAAGACTAATGGAGGTCACAGCAGGATGGAAGCTTTGGCTACTTTTTGTATTGTCCTAACTGATTAACTGATTGTAGAACTACACTGTGACTCATAAAAACAGTATAAATATTGCATTTAGTATCAGACTAATATTTTCACTATCATTCCTAATGATTCTGCTTGTGGATTTTAAAAACATTGGGGGGGATTTATCAAAACTGGAGCAGACAGAATCTGGAGCAGATGCCCATGGCAACCAATCAGCATCTTTCTTCAGTTTGCTCAGTTGAGATTTGAAAATGAGAGAAAGAAGCTGATTAGTTGCAGTGCAAATCTGCTCCGGATTTTGTCTGCTCCCGTATTGATAAATTACCCCCATTGTATTTAATTAGCACTGGTTTTATACTTTTACAACAGAATTTAGCAATAAAAACAGATAAATGACAACAGTGCATATAGATGCCCGTTCACTTAACACTACTCACAATTTCATCTATGGTGCAGTGTTTTTAATCACAAAGTCCTAAACCACAGCACACACCATAACACATGTAAAACAATTGAAAATATCTCTGCCCAGTTCATTTAAATAAGCACACCCTTTGAATGCTCTGGTGCCCATATAACGTTGCAGAAGTTATGTCTAACCCCTAAACTAAAGAAAGTTCCCCCAAAGGTTGGGGGAAGATTTGTTGGGGTAATTTCATCTTCTCACGTTTGGTGAAAAACTAAAATTACATTTTTTAAACAAAACTCCCCTGAACCACTCACACAGTGAGGACTAAGCAGGATTTTTCAGTCCTGGAGTTAGCACAAAAACCATCTAAAAAAAAAGGTAAGCTGCAAAAGTAGAAATACACTTTAAAGTAAACCTGCCAAGTATCATCTGAGGCTCTAACAAGTCCTCTGGGCCTCTTATGTTATAGATAAACTTCAAAAGCCTGTCTGTAGTTTTATTAGTCATAGGAGTGGGTGGTAATCTCACACTTCCTATTTAATCCAGACACCATGCATGGCTCAAACACTGGGTATTTTGCCCACGTAGGCAAGAACAAATGTACAAATGTGAATAGATATTCACTCATTGTGCAGCAGTTTGGTTTGCATAAGAAGCAAAAGAAAGGAAAGCTCACTTTCATTTATTCTCTACTCCAGCCTGCTCACAGAATGATTTTGAAATTAATACATAATTAAACTAAAGGTACATTGGCCAACTCTGCTAATGACAACACATATTAAAATTTTTGACAGAAACAAAACATTCTAACAGTATTCAACATCTAAATAATACCAACTTCCTTTTTCTTGGATAGCCATCACCTGAATCTGAAAAAGAAAAGGCAGAAAGTTGCAATGAAAGCGCACTTTATTAATTATATATTAATTACATCATTTTTAATAAGATTCTGATATTAAAAGGCTCAGTAAAACATATTGTCCACGCATTAAATATTAATGTGCACATTCTACACAAACGAAACACAATACCTAACAATGTAACACATGTAACACATTCTCCACTTTGGCTCCCTTCTAAGATGTTTAGGCACATTGACAGTATATTTAGGGACCTTATTTGGAAACGAAAGCAAGCTCGATGAAAATTAGAGACTTTACAAAGACCCAAGGATTCGGGAGGCTTAGCTCTTCCTAATCCTTGGCTCTATTTTCTTGCCTTCCAATACTTTGCTGGTTGGAAATGTGAGGAGATTCAGTTACAATCATTCCGTTCTTTGCAGTATCTTTTTGATGGTTGTAATCCTCTGGGTTCGTTGTTCTCCTACCTAGCACAATATTGGGAGAAGACTAAACGACTTTTATGAACTTCAGATCTCACTAGATATACCCCGATTTGGAACAATGGTAGACTTCCGGCGATATCCAAGTTGCAGGGCTTTAGGAACTGGCGGCAGGCTGGGGTGTGTAGAGAGTCGAGTTATATGTTGATAATGCTCTCTGTTCATTTCAACAATTGCAATCCCAATTTGGATTGCCTCAGACTGCTTTCTACCAATATTTGCAACGTAGACATGCCTTGACTTCCCAATTTGGTAGTGCCTCCCCAGAGTTCCATTCAACACCGATTTTGGATACCCTGGTTGCTTGAAAGCGCACTTTATTAATTATATATTAATTACATCATTTTTAATAAGATTCTGATATTAAAAGGCTCAGTAAAACATATTGTCCACGCATTAAATATTAATGTGCACATTCTACACAAACGAAACACAATACCTAACAATGTAACACATGTAACACATTCTCCACTTTGGCTCCCTTCTAAGATGTTTAGGCACATTGACAGTATATTTAGGGACCTTATTTGGAAACGAAAGCAAGCTCGATGAAAATTAGAGACTTTACAAAGACCCAAGGATTCGGGAGGCTTAGCTCTTCCTAATCCTTGGCTCTATTTTCTTGCCTTCCAATACTTTGCTGGTTGGAAATGTGAGGAGATTCAGTTACAATCATTCCGTTCTTTGCAGTATCTTTTTGATGGTTGTAATCCTCTGGGTTCGTTGTTCTCCTACCTAGCACAATATTGGGAGAAGACTAAACGACTTTTATGAACTTCAGATCTCACTAGATATACCCCGATTTGGAACAATGGTAGACTTCCGGCGATATCCAAGTTGCAGGGCTTTAGGAACTGGCGGCAGGCTGGGGTGTGTAGAGAGTCGAGTTATATGTTGATAATGCTCTCTGTTCATTTCAACAATTGCAATCCCAATTTGGATTGCCTCAGACTGCTTTCTACCAATATTTGCAACGTAGACATGCCTTGACTTCCCAATTTGGTAGTGCCTCCCCAGAGTTCCATTCAACACCGATTTTGGATACCCTGGTTGCTGCTTGCAATACCAAGGGTATTATTTTCTATGTATATACCCTCTTAATAACTAACTCGATGTTACAATCACCTTTGAGTGTTAGGAGTAAGTGGGAAGATGATCTAGGCCCTATTACAGATGAGGACTGGAGGGGAGTAGAGAGGGCTGTTCTATCGGCGTCCTTATCCCATAGACTTACTCAATTGTTTATTTTACATAAGATTTATCGCACTCCAGAGTTTCTGTTAAAAATAGGTGTCGGGAACGATCCTTCATGTCCACAATGTGGTTTTCACCAAGGTTCACTGATACATCTATTGTGGATATATATCTGGTTAGATATTGGGGTGCATTGCTTAAGATCATACACTCAGTCTTTGGCATATTGTTAAATAATACACCTGGAGTATGCATACTAGCAGTTTTTGATGCCTCTGCAATGAGTTCATATACCAAATTGGCTATACATAGAGCATTATTTACTGCTAAGCGACTGGTGACGAGGAAATATATATTTCTCCCCACCATCACTATCAGAATGGATATCTGAGTTAGATCAGACGGTAATGTTTGATATAGAGCCTTGGTTCTCAACTGGTGGGTCGTGACCCAAAAGTGGGTCGCGACCCCGTGTTCAGTGGGTCGCCATGTGCCTTCCACTTATCTAGGTGAGAGGCGTCTCAACCTCCCCCTAGCTCAGCACTGTCAGTTCTCACGCCAAGCAGCCATTCCTATGCTGCTCGGCGCCGTGTTTCAGCTTAAGGTGGGGTGGGTAGCAGCTATGGCTTTGGGAGAGCTCCATCCATACGTGGATTGCTTTCAGCTTCCTCGCATGTTCTGTGGTGGTGCCCGGACCGGAGTGATATCACATCTTGGTTCCTCGCACCTCTACAGGGCACGCAAGGCAGTTGTACGAGCAATGCATATATGCAGTGGCGTAACCAGAGTTATGGGCGTCCGGGGCAGAATTTTTTTCCGCCCCTCCCCTTATATAAACATCCACTGGAACTTTACCTCGTACCCCCCACCCCCACACATGTTTGTATTTTAATTTTTTCAATATTTTATTTAAATTTTTTATAAACTTTAAATTTTTTTTAAATTAATTTTTATTAAATATTTTTATTTTTTACTTTACTTTTAGTGGCTTTGGGGAAATATTAGGGATCTAAACAGACCCCTGATATTTCCCTTTTAAAATAGAAAAAGAGATTGAGAACACAAAGTCTTCCATCTCTTTTTCTGTATCCCCTGTTATCAATGAACAGGAATCCTTTACGAGTGTTCCTGTTCATTGATAACATGAGGAAAGAGTATGTTTACTATAACCACAATCATGAATGAGCACGAGGATGTAGATCACTCCCATTCATTCATAATTGAGGATACAGTAACCATACCCTATCCTATCCGCCCATCACAGTCCGGCAGAGCGGTGTGGGTGCGGAGACAGCGCTGTCACAGGAGGCTGGGCTCTCCTCCGTGCACTGCTCGCTCAGCCTCCTGTGACAGCGTGTCAGGACAGAGAGTGAGCAGTGCAGAGAGAGTAGATAATTGAGGATATGGTATGGTTACTGTATCCTCATTTAGCCAAAAGTGCAATTTTCGGCCGGCATCCCCCTTCAGCTTTACACCCGGGGCCGGCTGCCCCCGGTTGTTACGCCACTGCACATATGGATGGGCTGCCCCCGGTTGTTACGCCACTGCACATATGGATGGAGCTCTGTCACAGCACAGCAGCCCACACTGGACCCCAGAGTGAGGATCCACTCCAGTTCTCATAAGTTAGACTGGGAGGATCTAAAAAATCCTGGATCTTGGAGTGAATATGTGTGTCTGTGAGAGTGTGTCTGTGGTTGTGTGTCTGTTAGTGTTTTTGAGGGCCCGTTCCCACTAGTACAGAGAGTTAATCGAACAGTCCTGTGCGATTAATGCACTGTACAATGCAATCGCTGGATTTACACTTGGGCATTCCAATTAGGCCCGTTTTATGCTTGTTTTTTTAGCACGTTTCAAAACACGTTTTTTAGTTCAGTGAAACGCGCGTTCGACGCTCGTTTTTTAGCCACCCTGGTGGTATGATTTTGTTTTTAACTTTTTTTTCTATCTTTTTAAAAATTTTATAAACTTTTTAAACTTCCCGCTGGTTCCGCCCCCCTGCGACGCGGACACTCGCAAGGGACGGAACCCGAAAGACGGCAGCGGCCGGAGGACACAGCGGGGATCGCGGACAAGTTAAGACCTAAGCTGTATTCCCGAGTAAATCCCGGTAAATAGACACCAAACATGTCAAGCTTAAAAATTGCGCGCACTCGCGAAAAACTAGCATACCCAAAATTGGCCATAGGCGACGCTTTACAATCGGATGTAGCAGGACGTGTATACACGCCCAGTTACATCCAAGAAGCTCCCGGCCGGCCGTGTATACACAACGGCCGGCCGGGAGGTAGTTAAAGGAGTTCAAAACTTTGCCTCTTGATAATTTTGTGTATTGTCATTTTTAACTGTATCACAAGCACACACAGTTTTGAGGCTGGACATGTTTGGTATTTACTAACTTGTCACAACCTCATCCTTTATTATGTACAAAAATGATGGATGTTATACAGTGTTTGTTTACACTAAAATGCATTTTAGTGTATTTTTATTGAAAATATAGATTTGATAATGCGTTGCACGAATATCGTGCCTCATAAAAAAATGCAATTACCATCTTTTTGTTCCACATAGTCTCTAAGTTCAGAAAATATATAATGTTTTGGGGTTTTAGTAGTTTTTTTTTGTTATAAATGCAGATTTCAACGTGTGTTAAGTGAATAAAGAAAACTGCATTTTGTAGAGGCTGTATGGACAAATACATATGTTTAATTCATAGTAAAAGTGCAGACATACCGTAACCTAAAGTCTAGTACCTAGTAAGTTAATTGAGTTTTTTCTTTTACATAATTAAATGTAATCGTTTACAGTGGGAAAAAAAACTTACCAGTAGAAGAGATGCCATTCTGAAAAAAGAAAGGGAAAAAAAAACATAAATCATATGAGAGCACATACCTACACACAATGTACTGTATATGATTTGCAATTCAAATATACTGATATATCTGTTCAGGAACTTTCACAATGGACTTTGCAATACTTTTAATTTCACAATGTCACAATTTCACATCCAAACTGTACAAATACCAACTAGGGACAGGCGCAGAGTTACACAAATAAAAAAAAAATATTCAAAAAATAATCTATATATCTAATAAGTCTGTGTTCCAACAGTCCAGGGAAAGTATAAAGAGTTATGGACACCGGCACTCCAAAGTAGAAAAACGTCTTTTATTGACGCATCATGCAACAATACACTTGTTGCAACGTTTCGGGGTCACACAGGATCCCCTTCATCAGGCAGAACAAGTGAAAATTACAAAGAGATATGGACAAGTATTTATACACATCCTTGTATGTGAGGAGACCAATACCACTGCCCAAAAGTGATCCTATGACATCATTTCCCAAAATTCAAAATCCAGTGTTGCTGTATGCATAGAAAGATTGCTCAAAACATAATTCATGGGTTGTGTCATGTCAATGCTGCTAAGTCTGGGTGGTGCCATGCCTATGGAGAGACAATTTGAGCAGTATTCCTGCTGGGGCTGTGTGTCTCTGTGTAACGGCTGCAGGGCAGCTGTTACAGAGACACAGGACGGAGTCAGGGGGCTTGGCCAACCGGAGAGCAGGTGCTCATTACACTCAGGCCGCACCCCTAGGTTGTCTTCGGTTATGAGTCCTGTGGTGATAGGCCGGCACTGGTCGTGTCAGCCATTGGCCCATGCATGGTAAGCTTAAGTGCAGTAAGTGTGCATTCAAAAGCATCATCTGACACATATGTGATCCCATGGGACGGGGCACCTGGGCACGTATGTGGTGCGACGTAGGAAGCGGAGTATCATATCAGCGGGGAAATGGGTCGGATCAAAGGCAGAAAGGAAAAAAGATAGAACACCATTATAATTGTGAGTGCTAAGTCCTCTGATCCTAGCTGTGGCGGTAGGGCCACCCAAGGAGGAGAGGGCGAAAAAAGGTTTAGAGAAAAAAAACAAAAACATATTCAACCGTATGGTGCGCAATGCCCTGATAAAACTGCGTTAGCGGTCTGGTAAGAAGCACGTCAGCATGAGGTTCGTGTTGAGGCCCCTGGGGATGGTGGTGTCCAATGTGTGGATCCAGTAGGCTTCTCGTTGGAGAAGATACCTATCATGGTTCCCACCCCTATGTGGTGTTGCCACATGTTCTATGACCATCCCACGTAACTCGTGGGTCTGGTGTCTAAGATTGGCGAAGTGAACCGCCACAGGTTTGTTCAAATCTGGAGTGTCACCGGCAGTGGTTTTGGCGATTGCAATTCTGATATCGCTACGGTGTTTTTGAAACCGTCGTTTAAACGGTCCCATAGTCTTGCCCACGTAGACAAGGCCACAAGGACACTTGAGTAGGTAGACACATGTTTCGGTCACACAGTTCAGGTAGCCCCTGATGCGGTATCGTTTACCGCTGTGTGGATGTGTAAACGTTTCTCCGACAATGAGTGCACTGCAAATGTTGCAGTTGTAGCATCTGTAGCAACCTGTGCGTTGCGAGATCCTAGTGGGCGTGCGCAAGTACTTAGGGACCATTTGGTCCAAGCTGATCCCAGACATAAGTACTTGCGCACGCCCACTAGGATCTCGCAACGCACCAACAGTCCAGGGCTCCCTTTCATTCATTGAACGTTAGTTTTTTCAGTCTGCATGCAAATACAGTCTGCCTAGGAACTCCCAATCCTCCAGACTGACATCCATCCATGAAGGCATTTTGAAATTGCTTAAAAGGAGAACTATGAGGGGAGTGATTTTCACTTTTCCTCATAGTTCGAGCCGACCTGTGACAATGAGACTTGTCACAGGTCGGCTCAGTAGATCGGGGGGTGAGCGAACACATACCGTCACTTGCTCACTTCTCGATCATGTCCCTGCAGGGAGCCGTGACTGTCAAGTTACGGCTCCCTGCAGGGATTCCCCCCTTCCCGCTCCGATCCTCCAGCGCTGACTGGAGGAATGAACGGGGGAGGGGGCGGGTACAGCTGGCTCTGCCTCTAGATAGGCAGAGCCAGCTGTCAATCACACAGCCAGGTGGATCTCGACAGTAATGTCGGGATCCGTCCCAGCTGCGGCGATCTTAGTATACCACGAGCTGTAGCTCGTGATATACTGAACTTTGGGTGACGGAAGGATGCTGGTTTATGTCCTCACGTGACCCTGAGGAGAACTATGGGGAAAAACACTTACCCCATAGTTCTCCTTTAACAAACTCCCTGGAGCCAGCCCACTGCTTGCATCAGGGCTGAGGGTTTTTGAGAAGAATACAGAGGCAAGATGCTATGATGTTTTTAGAAAGCTAATCATGACAATGATTTCCCTGCATTGCATAGAGAAGCACAGAGACCCAGTGATGATCATCAACAAGCTTCCAGCAGGTGACAAATACAGGAATCCTTTAAAACTTCAAGCACAACATGAAGGATTTTAGCAAAGAAAATTATAAACTTGGCAAAATTCAATTAATCAAATAATTGAAAATGAGCAAAGCATTTCATGTATACATTTTGTTGCAAGAATCCCAAACAATTCATATCTTCCTCTTTTGTGGTGCAGGCAGACATTACAAGGCCTTGTCTCTTATTCAAGGTTGTCTTGTGTTATGGGAATCTTTTGGTGTATTTTATTTTTGCTACAGTTTTGACCTTGATCACTTGTAGGAGGTTTTTATGCACATTGCTAGCATAAGGCTTTGTTTTAAAGCGGATATTAACCTAGAAAAAAATATAACTTCTATGGCAATGCACTGAGCCATTGAAAAATAATTGACTTTCCCAATAAAGGAAGTTCAGATTTTCAAAACTGTCCGCACAAGAACACATTCTACCAGTGTCACTATACGCTGTCACCTTATAAAATAAGCCCCACAAGCAGAATAGGTAACTTTACATTCTGATTGATCTGTGAACATTGTTTTCTCCCTACCTCCAACACTGGATTTTTTACACTGGCTAGCCCATGTCAAAACTTGACATGCTTTGTTGTTAACGATGGTCTGGAAGCTGGTACTTTTCCATGAAGGCTGAATGTGCTCATCATCTCTTGACAGTACTTCAACTAACAGGGATACGGTGTCCTTTTTCAGTTGATGTTTAATCTTGGATGCAGATACTGTTTTTGTCTTGTAATGAAGTTAGCCCCGTTCACTAGTACTCAGATGCTGTGGTCACTTCAGGCTTGTCTGGTCTTGCATTAAAGGAAAATTTTGTTTGATAAAGTTTACTGATGTTCTCAGACACTCCCAGTGGTCCTTTAATGTCCTATGCATTCATCAAGCCTAGTCATTAATAGTTGCCCCATCTTAGGCTTGGCACAAGTGCCAAAGAATGTCATTATTCTCTACACCCAGGCCTGCTGTAGCACCGCTGGAAGTATCTGTGCAGAGGAATAATGCATGGAGCCAGGGTAGGCAGAGTGGTGTAAACATCACTTTTTATGACGGAGGTATGTGCTTGAGTTGAAATTTTAGAATAGCCAATCTGGCTTAAAGAAGAACTCCAGGATTTTTAAAAATCCCCACACTGCAAGGGTTAGGTGCTTGTTTTGGTCTAGGAGCAGAAAATAAAAAAGAAATAATCACTCGATTCTCGGTTCTTGCCACAGTCACTGCTCACCTCTTCCCCCCTCCGCTTCGGCTGTGGGATATCCCTGGATGTCCTCACGTCTAATGGAGCGCATTAGAGGTGATGGCATCATGGGTTCTTAGACCTCCAGAGCCCAGGGGAAAAGAGGCTGCAGTCTAGCAGCCAGGCTGGATCAAAGATTGGTGAGTAGTTCTGTATTTTCGCCCTTTGACAAACCGAGCACTTAAACCTTGCAGTGTGGGGGTAGCCCCTCTGCAAGGGGTCATTTTTTAAAATCCTTCTTTAATACAATACAATGAAGGAATTAAAAATATGCAAATATTTTGTTTCCTTTCTATGCCACTTTTAGTTCAATACGTTTTATTAAAGATTTTATAAGGACAAACAGGTGAAAGATCAGCCTACCGGTAAACAGGCTATCCCTCTTCCCCAAGTGGCAGTATGTATTGGGGAAAAAATTGAAATCAGGCAGCATAATCCAAGTGGGCTTGGCCAGGGAAAGCCGGAGAGGGTTTACGGATATCATTATCCGTCATCAAAAATATTAATAAAAAAACCTCCTGCACTGGGACACAACTTTATGAAGGTTAGTTGATCCTGCAACTTACATTTTTTTTCACTTTTATATTTTTAGAGCATATATAATTGTGGCGCAAGCCATTTTATGTTATTAAAAACTATAGCTGGTGTAATGTTCTAAATCTGTCAAAAAAATGCAATGCAATATGGCAACCTGGAGGGGTTCTGTACACAGTTGCTGTATGGAAAGCTTCTCCCGTTACCCTTTGGAGAACTATGGGGAAAAGCCCTGACCCCATAGTTCTTACCTTTTAGTTTTCTCTGTTTAGTAGGCCTTTGGACAGACTACATGCTTCTTTGTACAACTGCAACGGGACAGGAAATGCTGGCTGTCCCCATAGAAAGACTAGAGAAACTTTGAGCTGCCTCTGATTTAAGATATAATTGTTCTAGATTGTAAACCCTTTTTGTTAGGAGAGACAGTCTTCGAATCTAGTTTACAACTCATAATGAGATCTGCCAGCACAGTACAGACAGGGTTCATTGGGTTAAAAATGAATGCCCCACCCTCCTTGCATTCCAGAGGAAAATTCAGATTACAGAAAATATTTCATTTTAGGAAAAAGCAAGGTAGTAAGTACGCAGCAATATGTGTTTTTTAAGTTATGTTATCTGAATGGGAAATTGTAACAAATATGAAATTGGCATTATCCCAATTTGACTGCACTTTGAAGATCCTTTACTGGTGCTCATCAGCAGATGGCAGTTGCTAGTGTCTATATCCCAGTATCTAAGCCATTGTGTGTGTGCACGGAGAAGGGAGTTCTAAACATGAATTTCTGTATGCAGGAAGCCAAAACTAACCTCCTCTGTATGCCATTTTATTTGTTTTCACAATACCAGGGAAAGAAGAAAACATCACCCAAAGAAATTAGATTAAATCTTGATTATTCAGCTGTATGGTGCAGCACACACAGCTAATTATGTAGGCTGATGCTTAAACGGCAAGTATTGCTGCTGCATGTGAATAAGATGTTTCCTGTGATCAGGCCCAGCCCTTAGCTACTCCACACTCACCTTTTCTAGCAGCTCACTCCTCATCTCCCCTGTGTAACGTGCTTGTGTTTGAAGATGGACAGTCTTGGTCACTGGCGTACGTTCCTTGCTGATTGTAGGTGTGCGTCCTGGAGCAAGAAACTGATTAGCCAAGGCTTTTTCAGTGGGAGATGACTGCAGGAAATGAACACAGCTTTGTTAGTCATACGGCCAAAACATTAGTCCTTTTCAATATTAATACTGGCTAAACCTTGTTATTCCACCTTTTAGCCAAAGCTTTCTGAAAATAAATAATTACGTAGTTTACTGGCTGCAAAGGTAACTGGTTAGATCTTTACTCACTGAGATCCTAGTGAGATCTGTTTTAATATCTTAAAATGAATACAAGTTTTCTAAATCTCTCCAGTAGGGATGCACCGATACCAAGTACCGTACTCAGTACAAGTACAAGTACACATACTTTTCCAGCTCCAAGACTAGACTAGAGAAAAATTCAGAAGTTAGGAGGCAGCTGTCATTTATAAGGAGCACACGGAGATCCTGGAATTTGTGCTTTCCTGTTTTATTGTATGTAATACAAAAATTAGGAACCATCACACAAACTGGGACACCACCCCTATATATGCAATATATATCAAAAGGGGGAAAGAGAAAGAAAGGGGCTTTGTGGTGACAACTGGAGAATAGCAGGGAATTGATCCAATAATAAAGTCAATTGATTCATATATATAATAAAATTCCATTTTTAATATACTCAATTCATAATGTCTATACATATAAATATGCTAAAATTCATCCATATAAAAAACCATAAATAGATGTATACACCATAAATAACCTCCCTGGAACCCACACAGAAACCATGACTATAAATTCATATATTGGTCATTTCCCTCATTGTATTCATATCTTATTTGCATGATTAATTGTACATAATTGTTCTATATATCATTAGTTCAGCCATGATTCTGTGCTTGCTCCAGTCTTCAACGCGTTTCGCCGAGGCTTCGTCAGGAAGATTTGGAGAGGTTAACCTATAGTATTTGTATGGGTATGAGAATCAATTTGCAATAGTCTACATGATATTGGATATATCAGAATCATTAATATCTGCTGACCATATATCTTTATAATGCAGTAAATACCAACTTAATTATTCTTTTTCCGGTAATTGAATATCCATCTGCAGGGAGTCTCCCCACCCAACCAGGAGACAGGAGCGCCGGGGGGAGGCAGTCCGAAAGCAAGGAAGCCAAGCATCCGTCCCAATCGTACCTATAGGGTTAGATTATATATTCCTGATCTCTATTCCAATAATTGCCAACACATCCATAAGTCCATAGTCCTAGGGAAATTGCCCTGAACAAACAAACTACCATCTCCATGATCAGGTCCAGATCAGTTTCCACAAATTATAAATAATTCTATATAACTTCACTTATTAAATATATATAACTGTTATTTTCAGGTCTATGACTTCTATTTGCATTGTTTCTATTCTTTCAATGTGTCTAAAGTTAAAAGGAAACAATTTCTAGCCCTCTGTTTTATTGTATGATTTTGTTTTTATGAATATAAATAAAGGGATGCACCAATACCAGTTTTGCGAGTACAAGTATTGGTACTTGCCCAAGTACTTAAAGTACGCCCAAGTACAAGTACGAGTACTGATACATTTTTGTTGTCATGTGACAGTTTTTCTAAAACAATACAGACTAATGATTTTAGGACAGTGGTGGAGCGCCAGAGCCAGGTCCCAGCTGCAACCGCTGCAACCCTGATAATTCTCATGAAAATGCCAAGTATTGGCATTAGTACTCAAAAAGTATCGGTGCATCCCTACTCTCCAGTATTTTACATGACTCATACGCCTCTGTTTTAAAGCGTATCTAAACTCTTTATTTTCATATGTTGATCCAGCTAGTAACACACTTCCTGTCTTAGGGTGGCTACCGTCACTCCCCTCCACTGTATGAATGGAGGAGCAACATAGCCACTGTTGGACCACAGCATTGTCATCCTGTGGAAGGGGTAGAAATAGATGAAGTAGTAGATTTAGAACTCCACCACTTTTTAAACGAATAAGGAAACAGTTTTGTTTTTCATTTTGGGATAAAGGTTTTAAATAAATAAAAACTAACCATAACAAGCTTACTGGCAGGATCAACAGGTACTGAGTCACTATGTAACAGGGAGGACTCACAGAAACAAAGAATGCTGTGTTACTGCTATTGGCAAATGTAATCATATTTGCCACTTTTATTATTTGGACCACATAAATGATCTGTGATACAAAAAACCCCTTGATCAACAGTTTCAATGTTTTTTTTTTCTTTTTCACCATTTAATAACCTCATATTATCAGTACAATAGACGACTGAAATGCTTCCTACATTTCCCTTTGTGTCCTTTTATTCTTTCCGGAAACAGATTAATTCAGAGCCAAAATAGAGAAGTGTGAACTGTCTAAGTTGCCAAAACATGTGTATATCTGTTCATTCCCTTTTCTAATACAATCAACTTGTCAGACAGCACAGCCAGGATCTGACCTTACTTTTCTTTACTGCAGTTAAACCAATACAGCTTGGTGAATTTGGTGAAAAACCATCACAGCATGTGATTGAATACTAAAAGGAGCAGCAACATACTGAAGAAGTCAACCCAGTGCTCTTATCTACTATCAAACACAAAAGCCAAAAACAGAAAATGAAACGAAAATAATTTTTTACCGATATTTTATTATTTCTAAACTTTATATGAGAATATAATGTGTGTGTGTGTGTGTGTGTGTGTGTGTGTGTGTGTGTGTGTGTGTGTGTGTGTGTAAATGTTTTTATTTATTATTATATTTATGTTTTTATAAGCAGACCCCTGATATTTCCCATTTAAAATAGAAAAAGAGATTGAGGACAGAGTCCTCAATCTCTTTTTCGGCATCCCCTGTTATGAATTAAAATGTTGTTGAATGAACAGGAAGCCTCTGTACTGAGTGCTTCTGTTCATTCATAACTTGTGGACATAGTGTGTTTACCATGTCCACAAACATGAATGAACCGGAAGTCATGTAGATCACTTCCCATTCATTACTAATTAGGGACACAGTAAACATACTATGTCCTCAATTATTAGCAAGCAGTCAGTGATCACTGATCACTGACTGCGTGTACACGCTCTCCAGCCTGACTAGCGGTCACAGGAGGCTGAGCGAGTAGTGCGGGGAGGAGAGCCCGGCCTTTTGTGACATGCCGGCTGCTCACAGCGCTCGGACTCCTGTGACATATTCTCTCCTCCTTGCTGGACGCTGAAGAGAAACCAGGCATGCACCGCAATTTCGTCCGAAAGATGGCATTTTGCCAAAAGTAGCATTTGCGGCCGAATCTTCTGTGCATCTCTAATTTTTATATTATATATATA